GAGGAATTTAGATAGGATCAGGTTTCATCATTTATTGCTTTAACTCCCAGGATGTTATGATCAGAGAAATTTGAAAAAGAACTGGTCTGAAAGAGATCCTGGTATGTAAATTGTATACATAGATGCAATGCATGAAAAAAATTCTTCATAGTGCATTGACATATATTTGTATGACACCCTTGGCCTTTCAGCAATGTTCTAGACAGGCAGCACCAGCCATAGAAGTTGTTCTCTAGAGCCATTTGATGGAGGTTTCCCTCTGTGGTATCACAGTAGTGAGCAGCTTGTGTGGCAGGACGTTGAAGATCCTTCCCTCCTCCAAGACACTGTGGCCTGAATCACAGCACCTGAGGTCCCAAGACTCCTCATCGCAAAGGACATTTTGCAGCTGTGAAGCTGTGACTCTTTGTAGAAGTCATCTTGTGCTCTGATAGAGCACTAATGTCAAAAATACTGACATGTGTTATGTCTTACATAATAATGGGCACATTTTCCATTTCCTGCCCTTGCCTGCTAGATTGGCTCTATATTGAATGGAAAGTCTATACCATCAGGTTTGCTTGGATGCAGATAAAGCTGTGTATGCTAAGAGACGGTTTTTGGTTTCGTGTTCATTTTTCTGTGAGTGTTGGGACTGGTGGGGGCTTGCCTACTTCTTATTCTGAGCACTGTTTTCTCATGCTGCTGCTGCTGTTTTTCTGTATTCACAAAAGGCTGCAGACTAATAGTGACAGTAGAAAATGCTCCCCCTGTGGGTCTGGTGGTTAAGAGTTAGAATCTAGGGTTCCTTGACTGAGAATTATGACCCAATGTCCAGAGCTGCAGGAGGTGAAGAGAACATGGAACACTTAAGATGGAGCAAGCTTCTGTCCATTTTCTTTTACCTGATGGAGATTTCTTTGAACATGTCTTGGAGGGTTAGGTAGAGAGAGATACAGTGTAACCCATGGATTGCTCTGTGGAAGCTCACAGCAATACTCAAGTCCACTATCACCCATGAAATGCAACCCTCAACCTGGGTTTACCATTTGAGCCAACTTGAGTACTTCTGTAGGTTCAGTTAAAAATAGACGCTGACCCCTTCCCCAACTTTGCCCTGCTCTTTTTCCCTTTTTTCTCCCCAACCCATGATTCACTCTTTTCTAATTATGACCAGTAGAATTATGTGCTACCTTACTGTTCTTGGGTCACAGAAAAAAAAATAAAGCCCTCCAAATATTAGTTCCATGAAAGGGGGAATCAGTGGTGAGGAAGTGACTTTTATAACTGTCCCCTGCTGCTGCCCAAGGCCTAAATTTCCATATCTGATTTGCCCTCTTGAAGGAGCAGGCTTCTGCTACCTTTCCAGTTCACTTTATAAAAAAAGGATGAAACAAAGCATGCACATGAACAGACTTTATTTTTAAAAATTTTTTTCTGTAACTTGGCCTCATTTTTTAGATTTATTTATTTGAAGGGCAGGCAGACAGACAGAGACAAGAGAGAGAGAAAGAGAGAGAGAGAGAGAGATTTTTCCATCAGCTGATTCACTCCTCAAATGGCTGAAGCAGCCAGGACCAGGCCAGGCCGAAGCCAGGAGCCTGGAGCTCCATCCGGGTCTCACATGGATGGTTATGACATGAATGCTTGAGCCACCTTCTGCTTCTTTCCCTTCTGTCTCTGTGGATACTCCCAGGTATTATAATTAGAGAACTATGAAGGACAACTATCCTGAAACAATGTATTAGCAGGGAGCTGGATGGGAATGGAAGCTTCCAGGACTTGAAACAGTGCTCAGATCTGGGATGCAGGTGTTGCAGGCAGTGGCTTAGCTTGCTGTGCCACAGCGCCAACCACACAGAAGCAGGCTTTAATCCTTGTCGTGAGGAAAAGACCTCTGCCGAGTCCCATACCCATCCATGGGCTGAATAATGTGTCTGGAGAAGTTATAAAGTGCAGTATAACCTTTATTTTCCCATCTGCAAAATGATAGTAGTAATTAATAAAGCAGTTATGAGGATTTGTTAATTAGAGTAATTTAATTGGCTGTCTCAGTTTTGTTATTGAATAGATATTAATTTAATGTATGTGCCCTTTTCCTTCGTTGGGTTGTAAGCTCTGTGAAGAATAGATATGTGTTCCACTCCTTCTGTGGCTTCCCACAGTATGGGATGGTGATCTGGTATTAATGTTTACCGAATGATACTATCAGGTTTATATGGAATTCAGTAAATAATGTCAGTGGTTGACTGTCCCCTGACACCTTCAGCTTGGCTGTTAAGTATTTTTCAAAATAGAACACCTGGAGGAAGCCTGCTGTGTGCTGTAGGCAGGAATGCCACTGTGTGATTACAGTTAAGTATAACATGAGAATCCAAGGTTTTTGTTTTATGCTGAGCTTGGGTATGATTTGATCCTAGTTAGAGTTAAGACAAAGGGAGCACAAATGAAACACGAAAGAATGTATTGACTAAGAAGATATGTAATCTATAGATTTATAGCAAGATGGGTGTCACCTGATTTATCGAGGAAAACTGAACATGCGCCTCAGTGGCATTAGGTTCAAGTAATGGGACAGCCAGATTCCCTCTGTAAAGGTTGTTGTTTCTGTGTTCTGTTCTGAGCTAGTTGTCTGACAGTATAAATCATGGGAATCCATGCTGTGTCTTGCTTAAAGATTCAAACTAAACAAGCACAAGACAATAGGTAAAACAATCAGTAAATGGCATATGGGTATCATATGCAGGAAGCGTGGTTTTTCAGGTTGTATGGCAGCAAGACATGGAGGTCGTTGTACTTTGATGTTCAGCAAGTGCAGTTCAGAGCCTTGTATATTCCCTTTGTTTCTTATTGAGATGTCCAGCAAAGGATCTGAGTCATTCTGTAGGTTTGGTTTCTTGTTTGTTTTTGGCTAGTTAATGGTATAGCCAAGAAGTTATAAAAGAAGGCAGAAGCCTTCTTTCTCTCTCTCCCTGACCCTCTCTGTCCCTCTCTCTTCCTTCGCCTTTTCTCCAACACCATCCTGAGACTTGTAACCTCTTTATCTTGTTGTCTTGGGTAGCAAAACTTTGCAAGAGGTGTACCTGGCTTTGGTACCTCTCATATCCTCTAACTTGTCTTCCACTCCCCTGTGGGAATGTTGCTGAGGTATCAGATACCCTCAGAATTCAATTCTCTTCATTTTTTATCCAAGTCTCTTATTTATTTACTCCAAATAATAAACAAATAATAATTCCTTAAGATGTGTGCCATCAGGACTGGCATTTGGTGCAGTGGGTTAAACCACTGTAGTGCCAGCATCCCATGAGGGTGACAGTTCGAGTTCCAACTGCTCCACTTCCAATCCAGTTCCCTGCTAAAGCAGCAGAAGATGGTCCAAGTCCTGGGGTCCCTGAACCCACTTGGGAACCATGAATGAAGCTCTTGGCTCCTGGCTTTGGCCTGGCCAGTTCTGGCCAATATGGCCATTTGGGGAGTGAACCAGTACATGGGAGATCTCATTCTCTCTCTCTCTTTCTTCTGTAGTTCTGTCAAATACATAAACCTTCAAAAAAATTTAAACTATACCATCAAAAATGATTGGCTTTACTTAAAAGGAATTAAAGGAATCAAATCAGTTGACTGAATTTTGAGTACAAACAATGGAAGGTAAGATTTGAGATTCATGGTGGGTAGACATAACTTTAGGAGTGGTAGGTCATAAGAATTAGAGAATGAACACCCAGGTTAAAAGATTTCATTGGCTTCTCAGTCACTGTGCTATAGGTCACTTTTTTATATGTGAATTAGTTTCTGTTTTAAAATTTTAATTAATTTGAAAGGCAGAGACAGGATTTCCCCTAAACTGGTTCACACTAAATGTCCTCAACAGTCATGACTGGGTCAGGCAGAAAGCAAGAGCTAGGAACTTGATCCAGGGCTCCTACATGGATGGTAGGGATCCAGGGCCAGGGAGGTCATCCCCTCCCTGGATCCACATTAGCAGGAAGCTGGAATCTGGACAAGAGCTGGCACTTGAACCTCGGCACTCTGAATATGGAATGTTGGTATCCAAAGCAGCCTTTTAACCATTGTGTCAAACATCTACCTGAGTTCCTATTTTAAATAGAAAAATTTCATATAAAAACCGAACATACCATGGGTATATAATTTCTTAGACAAAAATGGAAATATTAGTTAGAAGTCTATATTCTCTTGTGACAACTGCCAGTGGAAGTTGAAAAGTAGCCAAGCATTTTAGGGCGAGCCCACATCCTCCGTTTACCAGCGCATTTGTCACTTCCTTGTGTTAGAGTTGATCCCTCCACTCCTGTTGATTGTGAATGTGTGCCTCTGTAGGCCCCTAGAATATAAAACCCATTTGTGTTCTTATTGTAGTCTTTGGCTGATTGGACTTTTGGGCCTTACTCCCACAGTACGGTTTTTTAAACCCAGTAGTAGTCCAGGGACCCATGTCTAGCAAGGTGAAGATTGAAGTCCTGAGAGGTTTTGTTTTTTTTTTTTTTTTTTTTATCACAGGATACACTGTTTTGGAAATTTTAGTGAAGTGATTCAGGGAATTTTCAGAGAAGAAAGTTGTGCATGATCAGGCACCGGGGATTCCCAAAGTGTAGATGTGTTTGAACTGAATGCAAAGTAACTAGAATGTGAGAGACAACAGCAAAAGGAAATGAGGATTTATCTGTGTTTATGCCATTATGCCATGTCTGTGTTTTTTCATTTATTTTCATGGGTTGAATAATACTGCTAGACATATGCTACTCATTATGCTAATTGGTTATGCCTGACCTCTCCAACTCTAGGTGGTAAACTCTTGGAAGATGTATTTCCTGCTCTTGTTCTTTTCCATTTTCTTTTTCTACTTTTTATCTCCCCCACTTCCCATGAAATAAAAATATCAAACTAATACATGCTTTAGAGCTATGTGCACTCAAATGTTTGATTTCTCACCCAGCAGCTCCTTGCTTTTTTTGTGGTATAATAGTGGAATCCTGTGAGACTTCTGCTCTTTCTCCTTTCAGGATTTAGAATGAGGCAGCGCCACGTCCTCATGGAATCCACAGGCCCTGCGGGGCGCTGTCCTCATTTGGTGGAATCTGTCCCCTGTGAGGATCCAGTGTGCTATCGATGGCTAGTGTCAGAAGGGATCTGCATCCCTGATCATGGAAAATGTGGCCTGGGGCATCGCATTCTGAAGGCTGTCTGCCAGGATTCCCAAGGTATGACCCCATGATACGCCAGAGGTGCTCAGTGATGTTGACCACATAACACAGCCCCATTCTCTACCAGGTCAGTTTCCTGAAGGCGACAAGCACAGCCTTGCATACCCTTGAATAGCTATGTTAAGTTAAATGACGCATTGCTGCAATGAAGGCGGCCATAACTTGATGTGGGACCACATATTCCACAATGTGAGAACACTCTGCTTATGCCTGAGGGCAATTGAGTGAACCTGAGGATTTCTCTGGAGTTCTTAATTTGCCAAGACAAATAGAAAACAGAAATCTCCTGGATATTCTTCCACTTATTAATACAAAACAAGTTGTATTTGCTGTTTTGTGCTTGATATATTACATGTCCTTATGGATTATTATCAAATACTAGCTTGTAAAGAGTTCAGAACTGTACCTCCCTCCAAGCTGAAAAGAAATAGAAAATGCTGACTGCGATCTTTTCATTCATATAACGTTAGACTGGAATCTGTTCTACACATAATGCTAACATTCTAAAGAGCCATTTTAAAATATAAGTTGTCAAGATTTACAAAACTATTAATGATGATGCCTTTCCTTTATCCCCAGACTTCTAGTACAATGGTTGTTTGAAATGAAGAGTGATTTAGAAATTGTGTAAGTCATATGGCAATGAGAAAAATGACATTTAAAGCCTTTTTCCTAGAGTTTAAAAAAATTCCGTCCCTTGGAAGAATATTGAGTATGTCTATTAATCAGTTCTGCCGTGTGAAGCCCCATTTATAATGCGCTTGGTGTGTGGGATGAAATGTTTTGACTTATGGAGCAAAGTAATCCAGAGAGCAGAGGAAACTACAAAGTGGATTCAGAATGGAATCAGTATCCACAAAGGGCCACAGCAAAGCATTTCCTTTCAACTATTTTTTCTTTCTGCCTGCTCTTCATTTCTGACCTCCTTCCTTCCTTTTGTCCTTTCATTTTTTTCTTGTTCATTATTAGCATAATTAAGTAGATACACATTTTATCAAATGATTTAATTAGTAACCTCTGGAACTGGATTGTTGTTTAATTAAATACAACAAATTATATTAGTGATGGCAAATAGTTGAAAGTAATTTTCTAAAATTACAAGGTAATTAATATTTAAAAGTAATATTCTAATATTACCAAATAAATTTTGAAATGTGGCCACACGGAAAATTTTTTAGCAAAGGCAAATAAGATCACCTTTGTAATGTTTTTCTTTTTGTGATATTGTGACTTACACTAAGAAATGCAAAATGCTAACAGAGTCTTTTTTTAAAACTTTTATTTAGTAAATATAAATTTCCAAAGTACAGTTTATGGATTACAATGGCTTTCCCACTGCATAATTTCCCTCCCACTCGCACCCTCCCATCTCCCACTCCCTCTCCCATTCCATTCACATCAAGATTCATTTTCAATTCTCTTTATGTACAGAGGATCAATTTAGTATATATTAAGTAAAGATTTCATCAGTTTGCACCCACACAGAAACACAAAGTGTAAAATACTGTTTCAGTACTAGTTATAGCATTACTTCACATTGGACAACACACTAAAGACAGATCCCACATGAGAAGTAAGTACACAGTGACTCCTGTTGTTGACTTAACAATTTGACACTCTTGTTTATGGCGTCAGTAATCTCCCTAGGCTCTAGTCATGAGCTGCCAAGGCTATGGAAGCCTTTTGAGTTCGCTGACTTCAATCTTATTCCAACAGGGTCATAGTCAAAGTGGAAGTTCTCTCCTCCCTTCAGAGAAAGGTACCTCCTTCTTTGATGGCCCCGTTCTCTCCACTGGAATCTCACTCGCAGAGATCTTTCATTTAGGTCATTTTTTTTCCAGAGTGTCTTGGCTTTCCATGCCTAAAATACTCTCATGGGCTTTTCAGCCAGATCAGAATGCCTTAAGGGCTGATTCTGAGGCCAGAGTGCTATTTAGGACATCTGCCATTCTGTGAGTCTTCTGTGTATCCCCCTTCCCAAGTTGGATCATTCTCTCCCTTTTTAATTCTATCAGTTAGTATTCCCAGACACTAGTCTTGTTTGTGTGATCCCTTTGACTCTTAGACCTATCAGTGTGATCAATTGTGAACTGAAATTGATCATTTGGACTAGTGAGATTGCATTGATACATGCCACCTTGATGGGATTGTATTGGGATCCCCTGGCACGTTTCTAACTCCACCATTTGGGGCATGTCCGATTGAGCATGTCCCAAATTGTACATCTCCTCCCTCTCTTATTCCCACTCTTATATCTAACAGGGATCACTTTTCAGTTAAAATTAAGCACCTAAGAATAATTGTGTGTTAATTACAGAGTTCAACCAATAGTACTAGAACAAAAAAAAATAATAAAAGGGATAAAGTATTACATTGTACATCAACAGTCAGGACAAGGGCTGATCAAGTCACTGTTTCTCATAGTGTCCTTTTCACTTCAACAAGTTTCCCCTTTGGTGCCCAGTTAGTTGTCACCAATGAGGGAGAACATATATTTGTCCCTTTGAGACTGGCTTATTTCACTCAGCATGTTTTCCAGATTCCTCCATCTTGTTGCAAATGATCGGATTTCATTGTTTTTGACTGCTGGATAGTATTCTATAGAGTACATGTCCCATAATTTCTTTATCCAGTCTACTGTTGATGGGCATTTAGCTTGATTCCAGATCTTAGCTATTGTGAATTGAGCTGAAGTAAACATTAAGGTGCAGACAGCTTTTGTGTTTGCCAATTTAATTTCTTTTGGGTAAATTCCAAGGAGTGGGATGGCTGGGTTGTATGGTAGGGTTATATTCAGGTTTCTGAGGAATCTGCAAACCAACTTCCATAGTGGCTTTACCAGTTTGCATTCCCACCAACAGTGGGTTAGTGTCCCTTTTTCCCCACATCCTCGCCAGCATCTGTTGTTGGTAGATTTCTGCAAGTGAGCCATTCTAACCGGGGTGAGGTGAAACCTCATTGTGGTTTTGATTTGCATTTCCCTGATTGCTAGTGATTTTGAACATTATTTCATGTGTCTGTTGGCCCTTTGGATTTCCTCTTTTGAAAAATGTCTATTGAGGTCCTTGACCCATCTCTTAAGTGGATTGCTTGTTTTGATGTTGTGGAGTTTCTTGATCTCTTTGTAGATTCTGGTTATTAATCCTTTATCTGTTGCATAGTTTGCAAATATTTTTTCCCATTCTGTCAGTTGCCTCTTCACTTTCCAGACTATTTCTTTTGCAGTATAGAAACTTCTCAATTTGATGCAATCCCAAATGTTAATTTTGGCTTTAACTGCCTGTGCTTCTGGGGTCTTTTCCAAGAAGTCTTTGCTGGTACCTATATCTTGCAGGATTTCTCCAATGTTCTCTAATAATTTGATGGTGTCGGGTCATAAGAGAGACAAAGAAGGGCACTATATAATGATTAAGAGATCAATTCAACAGGAAGATATAATGATTATCAATGTATATGCACCTAATTACAGGGCACCAGTTTATTTAAAAGATTTGTTGGCCGTGCCGTGGCTCACTAGGCTAATCCTCCGCCGAGCGGTGCTGGCACACCGGGTTCTAGTCCCGGTCGGGGCACCGGATTCTGTCCCGGTTGCCCCTCTTCCAGGCCAGCTCTCTGCTGTGGCCAGGGAGTGCAGAGGAGGATGGCCCAGGTGCTTGGGCCCTGCACCCCATGGGAGACCAGGAAAGGCACCTGGCTCCTGGCTCCTGCCATCGGATCAGCGTGGTGCGCCGGCCGCGGCGGCCATTGGAGGGTGAACCAACGGCAAAGGAAGACCTTTCTCTCTGTCTGTCTCTCTCACTGTCCACTCTGCCTGTCAAAAAAATAATTAAAAAAAAAAAAGAAAAAAAAAGAAAAAAAGATTTGTTAAGGGACTTAAAGGGAGACTTAGACCCCAATATAATAGTACTGGGGGACTTCAATACTCCACTCTCAGAAATAGGCAGATCAACAGGACAGAAGATCAACAAGGAGACAGTAGATTTTTTTTTTACAGGCAGAGTGGACAGTGAGAGAGAGAGACAGAGAGAAAGGTCTTCCTTTTGCCATTGGTTCACCCTCCAGTGGCCACCGTGGCTGGCGCGCTGCGGCCAGTGCACCGCACTGATCCGAAGGCAGGAGCCAGGTGCTTCTCCTGGTCTCCCATGCGGTACAGGGCCCAAGCACTTGGGCCATCCTCCACTGCACTCCAGGGCCATAGCAGAGAGCTGGCCTGGATAGGGGTAACTGGGACAGAATCTGGCACCCCGAACAGGACTAGAACCTGGTTTGCCGGTGCCACAAGGTGGAGAATTAGCCTATTGAGCCGCGGCGCCGGCCGACAGTAGATTTAAACGACACTCTAGCCCAAATGGATCTAACAGATATCTACAGAACTTTTCATCCTACACAGAAATGATTTACATCCTTGTCAGCACTACCTGGAACCTTCTCTAGGATTGACCAGATACTAGGCCATAAAGCAAATCTCAGCAAATTCAAAAGAATTAGAATCATATGATGCAGCTTCTCAGACCATAAAGGAATGAAGTTGGAAATTAGCAACTTGGGAATCCCTAGAGCATATGCAAACACATGGAGATTGAACAACATGCTCCTGAATGAACAATGGGTCATAGAAGAAATCAAAAGAGAAATCAAAAACTTTCTGGAAGTAAATGAGGATAACAGCACAACATACCAAAACTTATGGGATACAGCAAAAGCAGTGTTAAGAGGAAAGTTTATAGCAATAGGTGCCTACATCAAGAAATTGGAAAGGCACCAAATAGATGAGTTTCAACTCACCTCAAGGATCTAGAAAACCTACAGCAAACCAGACCCCAATCTAGTAGGAGAACAGAAATAATTAAAATCAGAGAAGAAATCAACAGGATTGAATCAAAAAAAAACATTACAAAAAATCAGCCAAACGAGGAGCTGGGTTTTTGAAAAAATAAACAAAATTGACACCCCATTAGCCCAACTAACTAAAAAAAGAAGAGAGAAGACCCAAATCA